ATATGGGTCCCTGGAGAGGTGACGGGGACCTTCGTTGGTTCAGGTACCAGGAGAGGAATCTGAACTGTGTCCATCAGGAGCTCTGGGCAGGCAGCCCAGTTGGTTGGAGCATCATCCCATGCACCAGAAGGTGGGTTTCATTTCTGATTAGGGCATGTAGGGGAGGCAACCAGTTGATGCTTCTCTCTCACATTGATGTTTCTCTTTCACATTGAAGTTTCTCTCTCTCCACACCTCTTCCTCTATCTCTAAAATCAATAGACATATCCTTGGGTGATTTTTTAAAAGATATTATTTATTTTTAGAGATAGGGAAAGGGAAGGAGAGAGGGAGAGAAACATCAATGCATGGTTGCCTCTTGTGCAACCCCAAATGGGGAACTGGCCCACAACCCAGGCATGTGCCTTGACTGGGAATTGAACCAGTGACCCTTTGGTTCATAGGCACTTGATCAATCCACTGAGCTACACCAGCCAGGCAAAAAAAAAAAAAGGTTTTAAAAAATTTAACTTATGTTCACCAGGTGATAGACAGTATCCAGCCTGGAATGCAGGAGCTATATCTGTGTTCCTCAGCAGAACCCCAGTCACCCCTCTGTTTCCTACAGAGAATTCAGTTACATTGCTCTGGTGGGCATTGCAGGGGTGGGGCTGGCCAGCACACAATTGGAGGGGCCCCTTGGGAGCCAATAACATTCTTTATGTGATGGGTGTGCGTGTGTGTGTGTGTGTGTGTGTGGTTGTCATGGAGATGGTCCAATGCAGGACCACTGATAGGGGTGCAGAGCAGATGCTCATTGAGTCCACAACTTCAGGAACTGGGACTGTGAACTTGGCAGACTGAATCTCTCCTGTTCACCAGCGGTGTGACCGTGGGAAAGCAATTCCGTCTAAGAGTCCCTGTCTCCTCTTGACTTTGAGTAACACATGTACTCTCTGGACTTAATTCTCTTCTCCCACAGTCCCAAGACTTAGTGGTTTTTATTTATTTATTTATTTTTAATGGCATTTACTTACAGATGAAAAAGTAAGACTCGGCCCTGTCCAGGTGGCTCAGTTGTTTGGAGCATCATCTGGGTCACCAAAAGTTTGCAGGTTCAATGTCCAGGCAAGGCACATACAAGAATCAACCAATGAATGTGTGGAAAAATAAATGAATTTCTCCCTCTATGTCTCTCTCTCAAATCAGTTTTTTAAAAAGAATGCCTTGCTTTTCTGCCAAAGGACACCTCTGAGTGAGCATCGTTGAACTTCCCTTTCTTTCAGTCGTCGTGTCTTAGTCAGAGTATACCAAAAAGCCGGAACAGCTACAGAAGCTTTTTATCAGAGGTTTGAGCTTTGAAACAACAGTGACAGTCTGAGGAGCCATTCTGAGCAATGGCGAACACTCACAGACTGTGTGATGGTTGATGAGAGATCCAAACACCAAGTGCTCCAGAGGCTTTGGGTTTGTCACCTATGCCACTGTGGAGGAGGTGGGTGCAGCCATGAGTGCAAGGCCACACGAGGTGGGTGGAAGAGCTGTGGAACCAGAGATGGCTGTCTCAAGAGAAGATTCTCAAAGACCAAGTGCCCACTTCACTGTGAAAAAGATTTTTGTCAGTGGTATTAAAGAAGATACTGAAGAATGTCTCCTAAGAGATGATTTTGAGCAGTATGTGAAAACTGAAGTGATTGAAATCATGACTGACCGAGGCAGTGGCAAAAAAGAGAGGCTTTGCTTTTGTAACCTTTGATGACCATGACTCTGTAGACAAGAGTGTCGTTCAGAAATACCGTACTGGAAATGGCCACAGCTGTGAAGTAAGGAAAGCCCTATCTAAGCAAGAGATGGCTAGGGTTTCATCCAGCCAAGGAGGTCGAAGTGGTTCTGGAAACTGCAGAGGTGGTTGTGGAGGTGGTTTTGGTAGAAATGACAACTTTGGTCATGGAGGAAACTTCAGTGGTCGAGGTGGCTTGGGTGGTAGCTGTGGTGGTGGTGGATATAGTGGCAGTGGAGATGGCTATAATGGACTTGGTAATGATGGTGGTTATGGAGAAGACGGCCCTGGTTACTCTGGAGGAAGCAGAGGCTATGGAAGTGGTGGACAGTGTTATGGAAACCGGGGCAGTGGCTATGGCGGAAGTGGCAGCTATGACAGCTGTAACAGTGAAGGAGGCCGAGATGGCTCTGGTAGTGGTAGTGGAAGTGATTTTTGGAGGTAGCAGAAGCTACAGTGATTTTGGCAATTACAACAATCAATCTTCAAATTTTGGGCCCATGAAAGGAGGAAATTTTGGAGGCAGAAGCTCTGGCCCCTATGGTGGTGGGAGCCAATACTTTGCCAGACCATGAACTTAAGGTAGCTGTGGCAGTTCCAGCAGCAGCAGTAGCTGTGGCCATGACAGAAGGTTTTAATTATGGCCAGGAAACAAAGCTTAGCAGGAGAGGAGAGCAGAGAAGTGACAGAGAAGCTACAGATTCCAACAGATTTGTAAACTCAGCCAAGCACAGTGGTGGCAGGGCCTGGCTGCTACAAAGAAGACATGTTTCAGACAATACTCATGTGAATGGGCAAAAAACTCGAGGACTGTATTTGTGACTAATTGCATACCAGCTTATTTTAGTTTCAGTTCTGTGGAAACTGTAAAGCATTACAACAAAGGGTTTTTAACGTAGTTTCTTCTTGCACCCATGCTGTTGGTTGCTAAATGTAATAGTGTGATTATGATGCTGAATAAATGTGTCTGAGAAGGAGAAGGAGGAGAATAAGAAAGGAAGAAGAAGAAGGAGAAGGAGAACAAGGAAGAGGAGGAGGAGGAATAATAAGAAGGAAGAAGAAGGAGGAGGAGGAGGAAGAAGAAGAACAAGAAGAAGAAAGAAGACCTTTAAGTGAAGGGGTGTTGAAAACCGAGAGCGCAGTATCTCTTTAGTCATTCAACAAATATTTTGAGTGACTACTGTGTGTGCCAGATGCTGATCTAGGAGAATGTGACTATGTACAAGACAGATGTTCAGCCATCAGTAAATATTCATGCAGCACCTAGTATAGGCCACGCCCGGTGTTGGTGCTGGGGATAAAACTCAGCAACACAGAGGTTTAATGCTCACAGTAAGTGTTGACAGAGCATCTCCTGGGAGCTAGACAGGGTTGGGATGCCATTCTAGAAAAATCTTCATGTCCCTTTTCTAAGGATGTTGTCCCTCTACTGCCCCAGCACCATGAGGGTAGGGAACAACTCTGACTTTGCCAAATCCCCAAACCCCAACTCAGGGCCTGTGACAGCACCTGGTGCTGTGGATGCACCATGGCTAGAATGAATGAACAAATGTGGGAGTCATAGCTTGGTGGGACTTGATGGCCACAGTGATGTATTTTTAAGCTTCATCTTGCATGTAATAGGAGTATTGGGGCTTCTGGGATCATTGAACAAATGCTGGAGCCTTTGTTCACCCACAACACATTCACCCACACTTACTGAGCACCTGTGTGTACCCACCCTGATGCTAAGAGCTTCTGTGTATTACTTCATGGATCCTTTTGTAAAAATCATTCATTCATTCATTTATTTATTTATTCATTTATTCATGTATAGAGAGAAAGAAAGGGAGGGAGAAAGAGGAGAGAAATATCGATGTGAGAAAGAAACATCTATCAGTCACCTCTTGTGTATGCCCAGGACCCAACCTGCAACCCAGGCATATGCCCTAACTAGGAATTGAACCTGCAACGTTTTGGTTGGCAAGATGTGTCCAACCTGCTTAGTCACCCAGCCAGGGTGCCTCACTGATTCTTCACAACAACTCATGTGAGAGAGAAGCTATACAACCACATAATGGAAAATGAACTGTGAGGGGCATTCCCTGGTGTTCAGTCTGCAGGGAGAATAGACCTTATTGAGCAAACACTAAATTCCATTCCAGACACTGGAGATAGTGGAGGGGAAGCTGGTTGTGTTATTTCTCACGTCAGTGGCAGGAACCCTGAAAGAAGATATTTGAATGGAGACCTACAGGGTGAGAAAGGCCCAACAACACCAACAGCTGCATGGATGGGATTTGCAAACAAAAAGGCCCTGGGGTGAGAAAATGTCAGGAGTGACAGAAAATGCAGAGGTCTTTGAGGCTGGGCTCATTGAGTAAGATCAGCAGGAGAGGGGAACAGAGAGGTAGTCAAATAACCCAGGACCTTGTCAGATGGAAACAGTGGCCCTAGCTGGGAGTCTCACTTAGCTGGAGTGTCATCCATGCACCAAAAGGTTGCAAGTTTGGTCCCTGGTCAGAGTGCATGCAGGAGGTAACCAGTCTCTCTCTCTCTCTCTCTCTCTCTCTCTCTCTCTCTCCCTCTCTCTCTCTGAAACCAATTAACATATTCTCAGGTAAGGAATTGTTAAAAAGGGACACAAAACCCCAGAGAAAAGCATTTCTAGGGGAGGCAATGGGCAGTGCAAAGACCCTGAAGCAGAACTAGCTATTTTGGCTGCAGCTCAGTGGAGATGAGGAGACAGAGGGAACAGGGCAGGGCAAGCTGGAAGCTGCTGGGCCTTGGAGAGGCCTTTAGATTCATCCCAGGTTCATAGTGGGGCCATTCAAGGAGGCCCTGCATGTGCTGGAGGACAGGATGAGGTGGACTCTATTCTGTTCATTCTTTCCCTCTCTCTCCCCAGGCTCCTCTGCCCTGGGTGCGCCCACCAGCCTGGGCCTCACAGGTGCCCCTGTAACCCAGCCCTGGTCCTTGATCTCAATGATTTGGTGATGGTGGGCAAACAAACCCAATTCAGGCCAATTACAGTGTATCAGTCAGCTGTGGCCACGAGAACACTGTGAAACAAACCCTCCTAAACTGTAGTATCTTAAAACATGTTGTTAATTCTCATGCATTATTCCTAGCAGATTAAAAACTGGAAACAATGCAGATATCCATCCATCCATTTATTCATGAGTGAGTAAACAGAAGATGGTATATACATAAAACAGAATATTGTTCAACTGTAGAAATGAGCAACATACTGACACACCCACATGCTACCACCTGCACAAACCTTGGAGACGTTACGTTACATGAAAGTTACCACACAAAAGTCCAAATGTGATATGATTCCATTTATGTGAAATATCCAAAACAGGCATATCCACCACAGAAACAGAAAGATTAGTGGGTTTTGAGGACTCGGGGACAGGGGATTAAGAGCAAGTTCTAACAGGTATGGGTTTCTCCTGCTGGTGACAACATGCAAAATTTGATAGTGGAGACAGTCCCACAACTTTGTGAATATACTTAAAACACCCAGAACTGTACATTTGCAAAGAGTGAAGATATATGATGTGTGGACTCTATCTCCATACAAATATAAAGTGTTGATAGTATGAGAGCTCTACCGTGCCCAGTGTCCTGGTCAGCCTTGGGACCAGTGCAGGGTCTTCTGGAGAGCTGCCTGGACTGCCTTGTTCCTCAGACAGTAGATGACAGGGTTGCATATGGGTGTGACCACTGTGTAAATGACAGACAGAATCTTGTTTAGATCTACAGCTTCCATTCGGCTGGGACGGGCATAGATGAAGAGAGTGGCCGAGTAGAATATCCCCACCACCACCAGGTGGGACCCACAGGTGTAGAAGGCTTTTTGGCGGGCGGCGGCCGATGGCATACTCAGCATGGCTCTCCCAATGGCCACATAGGATGCTAGGGCCACAAGAAGGGAACCCCAGAGGATGATGATGGCAGAGATGAAGTCCACCAGTTCTGTCAGGGCCACATGGGTGCAGGACAGATTCAACAGAGGGGAGACATCACAGAAGAAGTGGTTGATGACATTGGGGCCACAGTAGGACAGGCTAGCAATGCATGACGTCTTGACTACTGAGACCAGCAGCCCACCCAGCCATGAGGCCAAGGACAAGGCCAGGCAGACCTGGGGCCTCATGAGCAGTGGGTAGTGGAGTGGGTGGCAGATGGCAACATAGCGATCATAGGCCATCGAGGCCAGGAGGGTGCACTCAGTACAGATGAGGGAGATGAAGAAGAAGAGTTGGGTCATGCAGGCTGTGAAGGGCATGGGGCTGGGCCCACCCCACAGCCCCACGAGCAGGCTGGGCATGGTCACTGACACATAGCTTACCTCCAGGCAGCTCAGGTTGCCCAGGAAGAAGTACATGGGCTTGTGGAGCTCACTGTGACAGCGGATGAGGTGGATGATGAGGCTGTTCTCCAGCAGGGTCACCAGGTAGAGAGTCAGGAAGACAGCAAACAAGACATCCCTTACCTCAGGCCTCATGGACAAACCCAGCAAGATGAACTCTTGTACCCTGGTCATGTTTCCTGGTCCCTGGGGCCTCTCCATCTGAGAACAAAATGCATCCATAAAATATGCAAATCTATCTCTCTACACCTTGCTCACCCTACATCCAGCCATTGTCTCACCTGAGTCAATGAAATAACCTTGCTTGGTTCCTCAGCTGCCTGTCTTGCCTTCCACAGTCCTTATCCATGTAGCAGTTAGTGGGTTCATTCAGAATAATTGAACATAGTCCTGGTTGGGTGGCCCAGTTGGTTAGAGCATTGTCCTATACACCAAAAGGTTATGAGTCTGATTCCCAATGAGCACACATCCCTAAGTTGTAGGGGTTTAATTCCCATTGGGGCTCGTACAGGAAGCAACTGGTCAAAATTTCTCTCCCAACTCTCTGTCTTTCTCTCTCTCTCTCTCTCTCTCTCTCTAAAAATCAATAACAACATATCTTTAGGTGAGGATTTAAAAAATCATAGATCATCCCTGGCTGGGTGACTCAGTTGATTAGAGCATTGTCCTGTACACCAAATGGTTGTGAATTCAATTCCCAGTCAGCACAAATGCTTAAGTTATGGGTTCAGTTCCCAGGTGGGGCTCATATAGGAGGCAACTGATCAAAGTTTCTCTCTCACACTGAATCTTTCTCTCTCTCTCTCAAAATCAATGAAAACATGTCTTCAGGTGAGGATTTTTTAAAAATCATAGGTCAGCCCTGGCTGGCATGGCTCACTGGATTCATCACAGGCCTGCAAACCTAAAGGTTGTCAGTTCAATTCCAAGTCAGGGCACAGGCCTGAGTTGCAGGCCAGGTCTCCAGTTTGGGGCATGTGAGAGGCAACCTATTGATGATGTATCTCTCACACACATTCATGTTTCTCTCCTTCTTTCTCCTTCCCCTCCTCTCACTAAAATAAATTAATAAAATATCTTTTAAAATCGTAGATCATATAGGGTCACTCTCCTGTTCAAACCTGACAGATTGCTCCACTATTATTAGAATCAGCATCATGTTCCTTATCATGGCCTTAGAGTCCCTCGATTTTCGGGTCCCTGCCTGTTGCTCTAGGCTTAATGCATGTCATAAGTCCTGATCTCCCACCTACTGAAGCCCCATGGGCACCCTTTCACTTCCTCAAATGCCCCAAGGCCCTTCACCCCTTAAAGAATTTCTACATAAAGTTTCTTCTGCCTGGAACACTTTACCCCTGGCTCTCACCTTAATTATGTCTGGGAATCTTCATCATCCTTGGCATACATTTTTCAATGTATTATTTTCAGATAAGGCTCCCCTGTGCATCCTTTATCAAACCCTGTCCTTGCTCTCTATCCCCACATCCCCTCACTCCCGTTCAGAGTGATCCTTATTGTTTTCCATTGCTTGTGTGTTTGTTTAGTGATTCAGTGTCTCTCCAACTGAGCTGAAGGCCTTGGTAGAAGGGTTGGGTCTGTGTGACTCAGAACCGCATCCCTGACACCTTGTAAGAAAAACACACCACTGCCCAGTAGATAGTACATGTTCTTTAATCCATGGCAGATGAAAGCTGGATGGCCAGGCATCACTGAGCTTAATATATGCAGCAAGAAAGAGTAAGGGAACCCTTACTGGTGTGGCTCAGTGGGTTGGACATCATCCTTCAAACCAAAAGGTTGCCAGTTCAATTCCTGGTCAGGGCACATGTCTGGGTTGCAGGTCAGGTTCCCAGTTTAGGGGCATGCAAAAGGCAATTGATTGATGTTTTTCTATCACATCAATGTTTTTCTCCCTCTCTTTCTCCTTTCCTGCTCCTCTGTCTAAAAAAATTAATAAATAAAAAATTTTCAAAAATAAACACTACAAATGGCCAACAGTAGAAGACTGGTTTAAATAATTCACACTACAAGGACATTGTCTAATATAGACAGTCAATATTAACTGTTTTTAAAATACACTATAAAATTGAATATGTGCTATTGCTTATTCAATTATGTTTAAAGAAAGGACTCATAAGAGAAAAAGACTGTTAGTGAACACACCATCAATGTTCAGAAGGAGGAGATGGAGGAGAAGGAGGAGGAGGAGGAGAACAAGATGAAAAAGGAAAAAGCAATAGAGGGTGTTGGCTGGGAGCATTGGGACTCTGCTTAGCTGGCCTTCCCTTCATTCTCTGATGGTTGCTGATTTGTAAGGGAGTAAGTGGAGTGTCACCTTGAGCTCAGAAACCTGCCTGATCTCCTTATTGCAATCTTTACCACATTGCTTGATTCATTCAAGTCTTAGTTTGTTTGTTTTTTGTCTGTGAAATGGGGAGAATGATATTGGCTCCCATGAGACATTGGGAGGATTACATAAAAATGAAGGGGAAAGTTCTAGACCAGTGAGTTATTAGTTTTGATAGACTTGGGTCAGTTCGTTTATAGGTGTCATTTAAAAACACAACTCTACAGTGAACTTGAGTGATTCTCCTGCATATCCTGAAGTAGAGTAATATTCTTATCTCCCTATGCTGGGGTTTCTCTATGGATGTGCTATCATTTATTGAAGTTTACCACCATTTATTAACAAATAAAGTCAGCTGGGGATATTTTCTAGAAAAGCCAATAGAAGTTTGATTCCTGCTTTATTCTACAGAGGAATATAATCCCCCTCCCAATATCTCTCACTATAAAGATGGAGATAACATTTCTTGCATATAACTATGTCCAGGGTGGATCCTTTTAATAAAAGATTTCATTCATTTGCAATACTCTGCAATATAAGTGTCATTTTTCTTATTATTAAAGACCAAAACTGGAGGTTCCCAGGGTGTACAAGTTCAAAGTGAGAAGCCTGATATTTTTCGACTCAGTTCTAGGAGCATGAGATTGGTGTAGTTGACAAATCTTATCCTTGGGCGTGTGAGAACTGCCTGAAGACTCATCTAACCCCAGAGAAGATTAAGTGAAATCTGGAGTTGTTTAATGCTCAACTCAGACCTGTTGGGTCAAGTAGTAGTGTTTGGAGCTGTACCCCGTCCTGAAAGGAGCCCCACAGCGCTTGCTGCCCTGGGGACCAAATCCCGTGGAGAGACAGCTGTCCATGGTTCTGAATTACGAGAGCAGCCCCCCCCCCCCAGCTTTGGTGCTGGCTGGTGGGGCTCCTCTTGATTCCAAGCAACAGCTCCTCAACTACCCTCTTCCCTTGGCATTTCCCTCCCTTCATCTGACTCTTCTCTTCCGTGACCCACTTTCCCTCTTCTCCCAAGTCTGTTCCTAATTCCTCTCTTTGCCCTTGGGTCAGATTTAACTCTGCTGTGAAGTCTCAGCCACTTACTTTAGGTGCTGAGAGGTGCTTATCACTTATCTCGCATAAGAAGCAATCAATTTAATTCCAAAGGCCTCTTTGGAATATTTTAGCTGAGAACCAGGGTGCACAAAGACTATTTAGAATTTATTTTCATGCTATACACAGTTATCAAGCATGAACTATATACTGAACACTGCTAGGTGCAGACAGGACAAGAAGATGGAAAAGACATGGGGGTTCTATCTGATGTTGTCTTTTTAAGTTTTTTAAAAAAATTTATCGAGAGAAAGAGATTTGTTGTCGCATTTATTGATGCATCCATTGATTGCTTTTTGTATGTGCCCTGACTGGGTATCAAACCTGCAACCTTAGTACATCAGGGACGATGCTCCAAACAGGAGCTGCCCAGTCAGGGCTTATCTGCTGCTTTTTCATGGACTATACTTGGACATGTTACATAACATTTCTGCCCCACAATAGCCTTTTCTAAGAAAAATATAGGTGTAACTATCTTCTTCTCAAATTCTTAATAGCTCCATGATATAAACAAGAGTCAGAGAGAACTGGCTCAGAACACAAGATCTTTCACTGAATATCTGTGGTATTTTGGACAAGTTACATGTCCCCATAGAACTCCAATTTTCTTACATGCAAGTTGGATATTATTTGACGACTTGTCAGGTTGTCATGTTCCAAGTTTCTAGCTCATGGTAAACATAAATATTAGCTGTTGTTATTAAGTAGTGTGTCATACAAACACAGGTTTGTGTTTATAATATGGACATGTTTCCTTAACCCTGGTTGGAACTACCTGTGAGTGAAATATTATTCTCTGCACTTTTCAGAAGAGGAACTAAAACTGAGAGGGGAGAAGAAACTTGACTAAGTCACACAGAGAGGGGCAGCCACACCTGGGTCTGATTCTGAAGCAGGTGATCCTTTTTCTAGACCTTGTTGCCTCTCTGTGTGGAAGAAGTTACACATGTCTGAATCTGTACAATGAAGTGATGCTTTGGCTTGAGTTCGGAGTGATTCCGGTGCTGGCATATTAATCCAGTCCTTTCTAACAGAGGAGGGAGTCATGCAGGCAACAAGGCAGGGTACAGGTTTGAAGAGGAGTGTTTACTTCCAAAAGGAGGGACTGGGGGAACCTCATGCAGGATCTGACATTTTAACTGAACCTTTGTCCCCTTCTCTAAAAAGTTATTCTTGTCTATTCTATTAGAGTAGTCCCAGTTTTCCCCCCTTTGGTCTCCTCCACCCAGCCCACACCCCATTCCCATAGTCAACCTCGAAGGATTAGCAGAAATTCAAAAGTTAGAATATGTGCAAAGTGATGGGCAGCTCAGGAGGAATGAATGGCATTGGCACAGACATAAAGGTGAGAGCACCGGTTGACCAAAGTCACTCAGGTACTTGGGAACTCCAGCCCTGGTTTTCTGCTCCCAACCCCGTCCTTCCTTCTGGGTAGAAAGAATTCAGGCTTTAGAATCACATGGACCTGAACTCCAAATCCAAATCCTCTCCTGCCTGCTTGTATGAAATCAAGCAAAGGTTTTTTTTGCCTTTCTTTCTTCTTTTTCTTTCTTCTTTCTTCTTTCTTTCTTTCTTTCTTTCTTTCTTTCTTTCTTTCTTTCTTCCTTCCTTTCTTCCTCTCTCCTCTCCTCTCCTCTCCTCTCCCTCTCCCTCTCCTCTCCTCTCCTCTCCTCTCCTCTCCTCTCCTCTCCTCTCCTCTCCTCTCCTCTCCTCTCCTCTCCTCTCCTCTCCTCTCCTCTCCTCTCCTTTCCTAAGTAAAATACAAACTAAGCCGTTTTAGAAGTCCTTTTCCTTTGCCACCCCCCCAAATGCGCTATCCAGTCTCCTTACCTGAATAGCTTGAGTAAGATGGGTCTCTCCGAATGGATAAAGCTGGACTCCTTTATTCCTCAGGATGTCCAGTCAGGGACTGGACGACCTGAGCATTTACTCCAGGACAGAATTTTCAGGAATGGAACCAGAGGCCTCAGTTGTCACAAGAAGAGGAGATCCGCAGGTCACACCTGCCTGGAAGGAACTGTCCTTTGTCCTGAACAGGAGTACCCACCAGATCCGCCTCACACTCCCCCACTCCCAAACCCCTCCCCACACAGCCCCACAGCAGGTTCTGAACTGGGTGTGGCTTGGGACACCACCTTGCCTCTGTCCTGTCCTCAGCGCCAGAGAAGCCAGCTCTTCTGCACCAGAGCTCAAGCTCTCTGAGACCTCCCTCCCCTAATCTCTGTGGAATCCAAGGACAGATGAGAAACTTTTTTTTTTTTAATCTCTATTGGGCAATGGCACACCTCATTGAGAATCCCTGTCTAGGTCATGTCGGTAGGCGTGCACCTGATACCCTACTGTGTGCTAGAGTGTGTTGTGCATGCTTGGGAACATACAAATTTACCAAACTTCACTTCTGCTATTTTCTGGTCTTTTAAAAAGTTATGTATTATTGATTATGTTGTTACAGTTGTCCTGAGTTTCCCATTTTGCCCCCATCCACCCAGCAACTCCCACTCCCTCAGGCAATCCCCACATCATTGTTCATGTCCATGGGTCATGTGGATAAATTCTTTGGATACTTCATTTCCTATACTGTACTTTACTTCCCCATGGCTATTCTATCACTACTTGTTTGTGCTACTTAATCCCCTCACCTCTTCACCCAGTCTCCCCCTCCCCCCTCATCTGAAAACCATCTAATAACTCACTTATTTCCTCTTGCTGCTTTTAAGACTCTCTCTTGCCCTGGAGGGTGTGGCTCAGTGGATTGAGCACCAGCCTGTGATCCATAAGGTCGCCAGTTCAATTCCCAGTCAGGGCTCATGCCTGTCTTGCAGGCCAGGTCTCCAGTTGGGGGTGCACAAGAGGCAATCACACACTGACATTTCTCTCCCTTTCTCTCTCCCTTCCCCTCTGTATAAACATAAATAAATATTTTTAAAAACAATAGAGTCTCTCTTTATTTTTAACCTTTGGCCTTTTAACTATGATGTGTCATGGAGGGGTTGTCTTTGCATTCATCTTGTTTGGGACTCTGTATTTCCTGGACTTGCATGTCTATTTCCTTCACCAAATTAGGCAAGTTTCCCTCATTATTTTTTCAGATAGATTTCCAATTTTTTGCTCTTCCTCTTCTTCTAGCACCCCTCTGAAGTGAATGTTGCACCTCTTGAAGTCGTCCTAGAGGCTGTTTATACTGTCTTCATTTGTTTGGGCTCTTTTTCTTCTTGTGTTCTGTGTGGTTATTTTTTTGCTTCCTTATGTTCCAAATCATTGGTTTGATTCTTGGCTTCATCCACTCTACCATTGTTTCTCTGTAAGCTGTCCTTTATTTCAATTAGCATATCTGTGTGGGTTCTTTAAGAGCAACTGCTTGGAGCTCCAGAAGTTTCTTCCACTGACTCAATCCCTGCTGGTTTTTGCAACCAGAAGTTGTACGGACTTATCTTCCCTGGAATCCTGGGAAGGGGAGACTGATGTGGGTCTGAGACTTCCTGCTCCCAGGATATCCCTCCTGAATTTCTATGGAGTTCATTGCACATCAGTACCCCTCATACTAGCCTGGATGGATTTGACTTCTCAAATTCCATAGTTGTCAGACTTCCATGCAGCTCGATTTCTGACATTCCTGAGTGATGGTTTTTCTGTATTTTAGTAGTAATTTTGATGTGGTTGTGTGAAGAGGCAAGCCATGTCTGCCTACACCACTTTCTTGACTGGAAACCCACTTCTGCTTTGAAGGTTTGTGGCAAAGGTGGATATGGAACAGATGGGAACCAGAGACTGGGGGAGGAAGCTAGTCTGGTATGAGGACTTACAAGAAACTTTCAGGAGAATGTGGTAACTGAGATGAAGTTTCAGAAAGCCTTCTAAGATGATCTTCACTAGATGGAAAGCAAGAAACGCTCTGTACATATACCCTCCAGCACCAGGCACCCACCCTTCTACTTTCTGTCTCCATCAATTTGACCAGTGTAGGGACTTCATAGTCCTGTGTTAATCTCAGAAACAAAAACCAATCACAGAGCTAAAACATAGTAGTGGCCCCAAGGGTAGGTCAACGCCAACTGAAATAACAAGGATGGGGAGCAATGGATCCCCCAAAAGTGGACTGGAGGATCACACCAGGGCTGTCTGCTGTAGGGGACCGGTTTGTCTTGGCCTGGCAAATGTGACTCAGCTCTGTATGGAAAACCTACAGATGCAAAGTGATGGGCAGAAGCCAGACCTTCAAACTGAGTTTTCCCGTGGGAATCAGGCCTAGAAAATGCATACAGACTGTTATGGCTTGCTCTTGCTAAAACTCCCTCACCCTGGCCTAAAGCAACAAATATGTATTGTTTATCTTCAAGGTAATTTCCAAAGCCTGTGTGAGCTCTCCCCAGGACAGAGTGAATGAGCTCATTGCCATCCCCCTCCTTGATTGTACCTAGAATGTAGACAATAATATTCTATGTGATAGATAATAAATCTTTCTATGATGTGAGACCCCAGGAAAACAATAAAAGCCTGTCTAGGCAAGGGTCAGGGCGCTCTCCTCTTGAGGGAGTGGCCAAGGCACCATAGACACTCTCCCCTTGAGAGAGTAGTTCCCTTTTTCCACACAGGATTGTTGTCACCTGTGCATTGATTCTTGTTGTCAGCCACAATGGGCAGACTCTGCTGGACAGGGTCTGCTACAGTCTGCCCTGTGGGAGACCCTGTCCCCTCAAAGAGGGGATGTCCAGAGGACACATATGAAGAGTCACTCATTTTTTCATTTATTCCTGTGGCAAATATTTACTCAGTGACTGCTAAGTGCTGGAGATGGTGCCAGGTGCTGAGGAAAAAATAATGTGTAGAAATGGACACGGCCACTCACAGTTTAGTCATGGCACAGATATAGTTAAAATTGTAGCTTAACAGATATTTTTCCAAAGAGGAAGATATGCAAATGGCCAACAGCTGCATGAAAAGGTGCTCAACATTGCTAATCATGAGAGAGATGCAAATTAAAACCATAATGAGATATTGCCTCACACCTATCTGAATGGCCATCGTCAATAAATCAACAGACAAATGTTGGGAAAGATGTGGAGAAATGGGAACCTTCATACACTGTTGGTGGGAATGCAGGCTGATGTGGCCACTATGGAGAACAGTTTGTCGTTTCCTCAAAAAATTAAAAATGGAACTGCATCATGATAAAACAATCCTATTTCTTGGTCAATCAATACCCAGAGGAAATGAAACAGGATATCACAGAGATACATGCACTCCTGTGTTTATTGCAGCATTATTCACAATAGCCAAGTTATGGACCAACCTAAGCATCCATCAAAGGATGAATGTATAAAGAAGAGGTGGTACATATACACCATAGAATATTATCCAGTCATGAAAAAGGAAAGCGTATTTATATTGAAAAACAATTGCAAAAAAAAATTCTTACCTGGAACGTACTTATGCTGAAAAACTATTGGCTGAATTGAAATTCAATTTTAACAGGGTGTGTGCATTTATAGTTGCTAAAGCTAGCAACAGGACTTCACACATGACCTGTGCTATTACCCTGCTTTTAAACATGGGTACAGTTCCTGCTCTACTCCCAGGAACAGAACCCTATCATACTCGCCTGGAAGACGGCTGGATTCAAGACAGCCATTAGGGATGTTGGCACCCTACATTGTCAAAACAGGGAACTACCAGAGGAGGCTCAGAAAGAATTCAAGCTGGTGCACTCTGAGGCACTAAAAACCCCTCCAGGTAACGGAGGTGTTGTAGACCGCTCTGCCTGATTTTAAGAATTGTATCTCTACCCCTTGTGGCTAAGGGCAAGAGACGACCTTTGGAATGCCAGCCATAGGAGACAAAGCCTGTTTCTGGTAGCAAATGCTGCCTCAGTTCCTCTCCCTGCCCCCAAAGCTTGGTCGGAAGTCAATGATGGGTAAGAATTCTCACAGCGGGGGGCAAACTAAGCCAGACACTGATCACTTGGGAGGCCTTCATGGAAGGACTGGTGGGGGGGCTGCAACAAAGAGCAATGGACTCTCGCCCCCTGGCTTTGACATAGCCTGAGTGAGTCCCCATGTCCTCTGGGAGAAGCCCTTCCTGGCTCTAATCCCCTTAAGCCTGAATACCTGTTGGGGAGAGGTGCAGCTCCTTGCCTGGCCAGAGTGTGCCCTGGGGAAAAATCTGGCACCACAAAGATGTGCTGATAAACCTGTGAAATCTGCTCTGCTAAGAGTGCTTTCATTCATTTGATAAGGGTCTGAGAGGAAATGAGTATGTCTCCCAAAGTTTCTGCAGCTCTCTTCCCGACAGACACCGACTCAGACTCTGAAGCCCTCAGATTTCTTTGTAATGGTATCTACAGTTTGATCCTTGCCGCCCTGTATTCCTGTGTATTACAACCCAAGAAAAGGCTATGGAGGAGGGCGCTCGGGGCCTTTTTCTCCTTGGAGAAACTGGCCGCTGCTGGCCTTTGTCTCCCCAGAGAAACTGGCCACAGCCCACCTTCCACCCCAAACAGATCTCATCTTGTCTCGGCCATATTTACTCATTCAGGCGTGTCCGTGGCACCGGGGGGACTCAAGAGAGAAGTCGCCCCCACACGGAGGGGCATCCAGCAGAGGACAGGAGGAAGAGTCAGGGACTATGGGTCCCTCTTCTTTGAGGACACACCTGGTGGAGAGCGGCTTTCACCTCCTTGTTCCGAAGGCTGTAGATGAGTGGGTTAAGCATGGAGGTCACCAGGGTGTAGGAGAGGCACACCACCTGCTTGATCTCCGGGGAAGAGCTGGCCTTGGGTGGCATGTGGATGACCCCCATTGTGCCATAAAACAGTGACCATGACCAGATGGGAGGCACATGTGGACAGGGCCTTGTGGCCGCTGGTGGCTGATGGCACCCTCAGGATGGTGGCCACAATCTTGGTGTAGGACATGGTTATCAGACAGAAGGGGACAATCATGATCAGCACTGGGGCCCCCAACACATTGGCCTCAA